CTTCCGAAAGCAGACACTTCGGGCTTTGAAACAAGCCAAGTTCCATCGTTGTACGATTTTTTTGCACAAAGTTATAGCTGTTCGAATATCGTCAATTTTTTCGCCCGAATCGTGTCATAGTATTCTCGTATCTGCCGGTTTCAAATCCGAGCTCCGGAAAGCGCGCAAGCAATGTTCTCTTGTCATCGATAAACGCTAGGATCTATATAATTTTACAGAAACGGTAGCCGAACAACAAAATGGAGCCGCGTGACCGTGGATTTTACAGTCGTTCCGTCGTGCACGCTGCACGGAAAAAACAACGCGCGATCCACGCGGCTGCAAACCGCTCCGACGTAATTAAAATCTTTAAGCGCGCGAGGAGTGGATTTTATTACGTGCAAATTATGGAAACATTAAATTTATGGGACGCGCTATCTTTTCGCCGCCGGCTGTATATTTAACCGCTATTAACTCGGCAGATGTCGCGGTCCTAAAAATTCGTTCCGGGGTCGCGGTATACGACAGGCCAGACACAGTCGTTTCGGATCCTCGTCGCGCCGTTGAATCAACTACACGGTTATTTTATTCGCGCGAGATTACGTGATTGTTCGTACGATTACTTTTACAGCGCAGCAGTAAATGCGACTGCTTTCGGGTTCGTTATTTCCCCGAAAGAAGAATTCAATCTCTGGCTGTTCGGTGGCCACGTTTCAGCTATCGATCGCCGAGACTCGCGGTTAAATTAGTCGATTGCACTAATTGACTCGCAGCAAAAATAAAAATAACATTGTCTCCGACGATGTCTTATTTTCCAGTGAAAATTGAAAGTATATCCGTTTGTCCGTCCGTCGGTTGCATAAAAGTTAGACGACCGAAAAATAGTCCGTCTCCGACTCGCGCAACGTCGGGCAAAAAATATCGTGAAATATTCTGCCTGTGCTCATTTTAAAAGGTGAAATCTCTACTTTCACGCCCTTGCGTTTGTTTTTTTTTCTCCTCTGTCAAAGACCCCGCGCCGCGCTTTAAAACAGAGCAAAAACCGTACAGAGAAGCGGACTGATTTGCTTCTTTTGACATTTCCGAATTCAAGGGACTGCGCAAACTTCGCGCAATTTTTTCCCATGATCGCGGCCGACGCGACCTTACAGAGGCAACCTTTCCGTTTACAACGACCCCTCGAAAACGATTCTACGATTTTACCATGATGATTATCGATAACGATCTTCCGCGAACATTCCTAAATTCGAACGGCTGCGAAACGTTGCGAAATTTTTGTTCCACGATCGTTGACACGCGACTGTACGGAGGGAGGTTTCCCCTTTAAAATGACCCGTCGAAAGTGGTTCCACGATTTTTCTCGACGAACCAAAATCGAGCGCGCGTCTGAGAAAATAATTGTTCGAAAATTCCTTCGAGTTTCGAGGACAGCCGAGATCCGCGCGGAGCTGTACGTCGAAAGGGTAATTCGGCGTGTCGCGCGACACGCGCGAGGTGACAAACAGCTCGTAAAAAAGGATGCCTGTCGTTACTTCCGCGCAGATGTCGGGGAGCCGGTCTTATTTCGGAAAAAGGACGGGAACGGCGGACGAGCGGCGCGCCGCGCGGGGAAGAAAAAAAGGGGGAAAGGAAACTGGAGCACACATAGTGGAAGCCGGAGTACATTTAAGTTGCTATCGCGGCAAGGAAATTCGTATCGTTAATTATTTCTGTCTTTCCGTTTTAACTGGAGCACTAAATTTTCGTCCGCTGAGCGGAAACAGAATGGCGGGGGGCTGCAGGGGAGGGGGCCGGGAGGAAGGTCCGATGGGAATTTCGCTCAATATTGCTCCGGCCGTGTTGAACGGCACAGAAAAACTTCGCTGGTGCGATTTTTTTCCTCGGAGGAGAGAGACGAGTGAGAGAGAGAGAGAAAGACAGACAGAAAGAAATGGGGAGAGTGTGAGAGAAAGAAGAAAAGGAGGCGAAATAAGAAAGCGAATATAAGAGGGAGAAAATAAGGGGAAGAAAAGAAGAGGGAAAATAAGAGAATATAAGAGTGAGAAAATAAGAGAATACGAAAGAATGAGAAAATAAGGGAGAAAATGAAGAAAGAAACTAAGAGACGGTGAAGACAAAAGAGAGAAATTTTGAAAAAGAAAATACGAGCGAGAACGCGGAAAAAAAATGAAAGAGGATGAGAAGAGTGATTGGGCGAGTGGGGGAGAGGGACGGGGGAGAGTCGTGACTTCGGTAAAATAATATTGTTGTTGGTTTTAGGAAGTCCATCGGCGAAGCATGACAAATGATCGCGCGCAACAATGGATACGCGTCACCTGATACAAGGGAAACCACTGCGCCGATTCCGAATCTCTCTGGCCGCTACTGGCGAACGCCATTGTTGCCAGAATCTATCACGCTATCGAGTGATTGTTTTCCTCTTGCCGCGATCCATTTGACAAAAATCGAAGATCCTTCCCCCGCCTGCCCCCCCCCTCCCTTTCTCACGTTTTTCAAAACGGAAAACCGTCTCGGTTTTATTTTCAAGTGTCCCCATTTCCTTTCACCGTCAACACAATAAATTCTCCCTAATTGACGCTCAACTTGTACAAACAAACAAAAATGGACAATTCTCCTCTCTCCACATTGTCTATTTTTCTGCAAAATCTGAGCGTCGAGGAAGAATTTACTGTACGATTAAATGCTTCGCGGTTCCGTGAAACTTTGCGATTGATTTTCGAGACAGCTGTTCAGTTAATGATTAGACTATATAATAATTAATAAATAATCGGCGCGCATCGGACGAGAACGGATCGCGAGGAAACAATCGCGTAATTCAAATTCATAATTAATGAAGAAGCAGCTCGATAACAATCGCAGACACCTTTCCCTCGCGGAAACCGTTCTCGTCGTCGCGGTGCCCGCAACAATGGCGTCTTCTAGATTCCAGATAATTCCTGATACAGTAATGTCTCCCTTACCGACGCTCAGATTGTCCACTAAAATAGATAATTTGGGAAGAGAAGATACGATTATTCGAACCTTGCGGCTCGTTTTTGTAATTGTAGACAATTTATAACTATAAAAATAAACCGCAAGGCTCGAATAATCGTATCTGCTCTCCCTAAATTGTCCATTTTTGTGGACAAACTGAGCGTCAATTAGAGAGACATCACTGTAATACCTAATTTAACCTCGGAATTCGTTGAATTGGAAGGCCGAGCTTAACCCGTTGCAACAAACGGCAAAATTTCTTCAAGATCGCCCAAGAATTCCGCGCGTGGAACCGCGGTGCGTCGAAACTGTAAAAACTGTAAAAACCGTCGTCGGAACCGACGCTTGTAGCGACTATGGGAGAGACAATGGTGCTCCGTCGTCGATGGAATTTCGCGGAACGTCGAAGTTCATCGTAGAATCGGTGCTCGAAGAATGTTCGAGTGCGATCGATAGGTTTCGAACCCCTTTGAAAGAGTCGCTGTAGAAGTCGTCTCGTTCATGCCCGCGCGCGATGAGCTCGATGCTCTCGCGTACATGTTCCGCGCTCGCGTACATGCCCGCGCGTCCGCCTTCGCCAGAAATTTCAAAGTTCGTGACGGGTTATTACGCGCCGATGAATGCAATGATTTTCGACTGCGGAGCTCGTTGCCCGCTAAAATATGCAGCTCTCGATGTACCTATATGCATATACCTATATAAGTATATGTACACGTATAAACATATAACGTACACGTATACGCGCGTGGCAATATACGTGCAGGGTGTTCCATAATCATGCTAACAGAACGAGCTAACGGAAACGAGTGATTCCTGAGANATAATTTGGGAAGAGAAGATACGATTATTCGAACCTTGCGGCTCGTTTTTGTAATTGTAGACAATTTATAACTATAAAAATAAACCGCAAGGCTCGAATAATCGTATCTGCTCTCCCTAAATTGTCCATTTTTGTGGACAAACTGAGCGTCAATTAGAGAGACATCACTGTAATACCTAATTTAACCTCGGAATTCGTTGAATTGGAAGGCCGAGCTTAACCCGTTGCAACAAACGGCAAAATTTCTTCAAGATCGCCCAAGAATTCCGCGCGTGGAACCGCGGTGCGTCGAAACTGTAAAAACTGTAAAAACCGTCGTCGGAACCGACGCTTGTAGCGACTATGGGAGAGACAATGGTGCTCCGTCGTCGATGGAATTTCGCGGAACGTCGAAGTTCATCGTAGAATCGGTGCTCGAAGAATGTTCGAGTGCGATCGATAGGTTTCGAACCCCTTTGAAAGAGTCGCTGTAGAAGTCGTCTCGTTCATGCCCGCGCGCGATGAGCTCGATGCTCTCGCGTACATGTTCCGCGCTCGCGTACATGCCCGCGCGTCCGCCTTCGCCAGAAATTTCAAAGTTCGTGACGGGTTATTACGCGCCGATGAATGCAATGATTTTCGACTGCGGAGCTCGTTGCCCGCTAAAATATGCAGCTCTCGATGTACCTATATGCATATACCTATATAAGTATATGTACACGTATAAACATATAACGTACACGTATACGCGCGTGGCAATATACGTGCAGGGTGTTCCATAATCATGCTAACAGAACGAGCTAACGGAAACGAGTGATTCCTGAGATCATTTCAAGCAACTTTTTCCTCTACAACAATTTTCTCCGAAGCGTTGTTCACGAGTTATCAACGGAAAACGGTGGCCAATAGGAGGCGAGCTCCGCTGGCGCGAAGCGGCCGAGTCAACGAGCGGTCGACGCCCAGTTCCGCCCATTGGCTCCGCCGTCACGCGCCAGTCGAGCTCGCTTCTCATTGGTCACTGTTTATCGTTGATAACTCGTAAACGAAGCCGCGTATTGAATTTTCGCAAAGGAAAAAGTTGCTTCGAATCGCCTCGGGAATCATAATATATAATAAAATTATATTATATAATATAATATAATTAATATAATTATAGAACCTTCTAATAGCGTAGCAAGTATAGCAACAGTAATATAGCGATCGACTAGACAGCGAGATCGAAGGAATGAGTAAGGAATGTCGGACGAACCTTGAGCGTGGACGACGGTGACCGAGGCGACGATACCGAAGAGGAGCACGTGACACCGCATTGTTCCGCTCTGGTTTCCGGTTGCCGGTAGCCGATGGCCGGGTCCCTTCGTCGTATCCAGAGCGTTGTTTTTTTCACTGTTATATTCCACGGGATTTCCCCTTCGCTCTCCTCCGAAACGCGTCCGCGGCTCGATTCTAATCGCGTTTTCGGCTTTGTCGCGTGTCGCGTGCCGGTCAATCGACGGTACTTGTTTCCGCGGGTCCGTTGCTCGATCGTTTAACGTCACCAAGGATCCTGCATTCATTCATATCACTGGGCCGCTCACTTTCCGAAACACGGCCGGCTTCATTGTTTACGAATTCCTCGTGTTCATCCCAGCTGCCCCCATGAACTCTCTCTCTCTCTTTCTCTCTCGCCAACGATCCGATCCGGCAGTCACATGCCACCGTTCCCACCGGCCGATCGTTGTCCTGCTGGCACCCTCTGCGCGGCTCTCTCGATCATTCTGCAAATTCGGTGGAAAAACTCTGTGTTAGCTCGTGCTCTGACGTCGTCGGGCTCTGACGCGGCGGTCGATCGAGATGATCGATCGTGAGACCGGATCGATCGGTTCGAGCAACGCGTTCGAGCCGTAGACGCGTGCTAATGTCGCGTCACGCGCGATCTCGTGAGATCATGCGACGAATCAAAGGGGTGTCGGTCCGTGGTTATAATTTCTATTGTTTCGAATCTGTTGTTTCACGGATCGGTATCGCGTGGCGCGCGCGCGACAGAAAGCGAACGGAAAAATAGATTTCCGAGTCGCACGAAACACGTCTCGCGATTCTCGCGAGCGTTTTATAGTCTCGTCGCGGCGCGCGCGTGTATACTGGCGCAGCGGTGGCCGCGCGGAAATCAATTAGAATCGCGTCGGAAGTGGGTGACGATTGGTCGCCGGTAGCCGGGGACCGGTCTAAAAAGCAACACGGTGCAGTAAACGTCCTTTAAAGTCGAGCGGAAAGTTGGCCGGCAAGGAAGAAGAGGACCGCGACGGTTCATGCAATTAATCACTTAGCGGTTTTATTGAATTACGGGTCGCGCTCGGCGCGGAGTGCCGTGCCGGTAGGAGGATTTAGGACGGCCGACAATGGCGCGGGTCGAAAGGAAAGTTGCCGTTGGAGCCCCGCCGAGTGCTATTTGATTTGTCCGGGACCGGCATAACACGTAGAAGCCGCTCTCGAACCTGCCGGAAGGGCAGAAGAGTGGAAGGCGGTGGTGCCAGGCTCGCCGACTAGACCGTCGTCGCTTCGCCGCCCGTTCGGATCACTTCGGGATTGTTCGGCTTCTAAAACCTGTCCTCGCAGCTGCGAACGGTAGAGGACTTCGCTTCTAATTGACGCTCCAATTGTCAATGGACAATTTGGGGAGAGCAGATACGATTTATTCGAGCCTTGCGATTTGTTTTTATAGCTCCGAATTCTCAACGATTGTAAAAACGAGCTCGAATAATCGCATCTTCCGAAATTGTCTATTTTCGTGGACAATCCGAGCGCCGGTAAGGGAGACATTACCGTATTAGATCGTTCTCTCGTGGATCTCGACTCCACAGAATGATTTCCTTAAACCGCGATCTCGAGGAAACCGTTCGAAGAACGCTGCAAACGAAGCTTTACAATTCTTCGTCCACGAAACCGGACTCGACGCGTTCATTCCACGGCGACGGATTCGTCGGAACACAATTTTCCTAATTGATAACTGCAACAGCTATTCCAGCGACGTCGCCGTGAAAACGCTTGAAATTCCGAAGCATCGTTCGCATATTTCGCGAAGCCATAACCGTAGCGACCGCTCCGGGTCTCTCGAAGCAGAATCTTGTCCATCGTCGCAGGATTCCTTGGAAATCGCCGGGGAAAAATCGGCGCCACCGGCAGCAACCCGAGAGATCCGAGATCCTCTCACCTCTGGCAGAGCCCGAACCATATTCGCGATAAATCACGCGATTCCGTTAGCAGCCGAAAAGTTCGCGTGCCTCGCCAGTATTTCACTTTTCGGCTGGGAAACTTTTATGTAGATCTGCTCGAAAGAAGTTGTTCAAAGTCCCCGGGGGCCACGGACAAGAATTCCCTGTCACCTGTGGTCTCGGTTTGCGCGCTCCCTCGGATTTTTCTCGAATCGATGAGAGATATAAAGCAGGCTCGCGCGGAACCATAGAAAGAACGAACGTGAGAACGAAAGAGAGGAAGAGAAAGAAAGATAAAGGAAAAGAAAGAAAGAGAGGGGGGGAGTGTGAGCGCGAGTGTGAGAAAGAGAGAGAAGGGAAGAGGCGGAAAGAACGCGAGCGAGAAAGGAAGAAAAGTTGGCCAGGTAAGCAAACCCAATGGAGTCAAAAAGTTAGGCGGCGCCTCCTCGATGCAGTCTTTCGAACTCTCGCTCCGGGACTCGGACAAGTTCGCCGTAAGTGAGTGAAGAACAAGGAGTCGAAAGAAACGGATACTCCATCCAGCCCGCGCTCCGAGCCGCGGCGGTTGTTAAAACGATAACAGGGAAGCGGCCCGATAAGCCCGCGTTTCTCTTTCACTTTCCGCTTCTTATCCGCCGCGGAATATGGTAACGCGCCGCTGAAAAGACGGGGCGCGCGCGCGCCACTCTTTTCGAAGGATTTTATCGTCGATGATCGATGAGTGCCGCGGCTCCTTCTGCCGGTGGTGTCAGAACCGTGACGTCACCGGTGCACCGTGCAACCGGTACGTCGGTAAAAAGGAAACAGAAATCGATTCCCCGTTAAAAGTAGTCGTATTTTAATACTGTTAATAACGTAATCGTGCTTGCGTTCGACGAGTCTAATAATCATTTTTAATATAATCATCGACGTTGAATAATCGGTGATATTTATCGACGAGTGGTATATTAATTTAGGAACGTGTACATTTTTTTTAATGTATTCGGACATAATTCGTATATCAAGAAAAATAACAATTAGTCCTGTTTTTTTTGGCAGGAGTTCGAACGCCACGGTTCGAAAGAAACGGGGGAAACTGAGGCAACTAAAATGAACCAGTGTTACATTATTTACGAAACAAATAATTTGTTACCTTCAAATTAATCGAACAGGTTAATTATATCGTATTCGATGCAAGCAATTATGAAATTGTAAAAACGTACGTATAATAAATTCTCTCTAATCGATGCCTAGCTTGGAGACAACAAAATGGACAATTCGGGAGTAAATTTGCGAAGGCAATTTGCGGCACGTTTTCATAATTGTTGACAATCGGCAACTGTAGAAACGAGTCCCGAGGTTCGAACGGTCGTATCCGCGCTTTCCAAATTGTCCATTTTTGTGGACGATCTGGGCGTCAATTAGAGAGACATCACTGCAGTCGTTGATTCTGAAATGGAGGAGGCCTCCTTACACGAAGCCAAGATTCAGAGAAAAAACAACGCGACGTTTACCGAAACAGTTGAAAACGGATCCTCGATTCACGGCGTACGAAGATCGGTCCGGAACTTCGCTTACGATGTAAAGCATCGCTTGCAACGTTGCTCGAACTGTTTCCGTAACTGTGACTTCGGAAAATCGTGCTTAGACGTCGCCCCTCCCCGCGCTTACGTAGAATCGATGCAGAGAATCAAGCTGTCTATAGACGAGAGATACGCGATGCATGATTTGCAACGTTGATCGAGCACAGCTCCGCTAATTATACCTTAGGGAAAGCCATACTCGAGAACTCGGCTCAGAATACTTCAGGGTTCTTTCCTACGTCCGAGATGTGGCACGCGCGCAGGCCTTTCTCCGAAAACAATCGTCTCTCTCTCCCTCTCTCTCGTAGAAATTCACGCGTTATTGTTGCAACAGATACGAAAGTTTGTTCCGCTTTCGAGGCATCGCGGTTTCAAAAGCCGTCCTACGGTTGCGACCAAAAATGAATCAAGTTCCCCGCGACAGTTCGAAGACACCGGGACGGTTTTCTCTCCGCCATCTAGAGAATTATATTTTTCCTACGGTCACTCCGCGACCCCTGCGCAAGACTCCGGGCTCGCGGAGTCGACTTAAAGAACGTTAACTCTCGGGGAACGACGTCGTCGAGGCGTCGCGTCGGATGTTTTCGCGGTAAACGGCTCGGACACCGGGCAACCATTCGGTACGCATAATCGCGCTCGCGATATCTCGGCGGAGCGGCCATTACCGCGGCAGGACAGGGAAACCTCATTAAAAAGTTTTCTCGCCTCGAACTTTCGTCAGAGTTTCGAATCGCGGAAAGGTAGTAGCGGCGCCGTGCCACGCGAAAATACGCGCGTCCCGGTCCCGGGACCCGCGCGTCGCTCCCGAGAAGACGTGGTAAACATCCCAAAGAATGAAAAACGGTGTCGCGTCCATGCCAGTCTAATCAGTCGGAGCCTTTGGGGTCCTCCGGGCTCCGTGCCGTGCAGCCGCAGCCTCGCTGCAAATGAACCTGCTCGCCTCTTTGGCCGAGGAAGCGTCGCGACGCGACGCGACGCTCTAACAACCCGGAGTCAAAATTTAAATTCCGCCGACACCGGGGCCCTGGGTTACGCATACTTTACTGCATTCTAAGTGATTATCTATATATATGTACGTGTGTGTGTGTGTGTACGTACAGGGTGTCCCAAAAATATCTCGTAATCCGAAAGTGGCGGGTTACTCGGGTCGTTCGAAGCAATTTTTTCCTTTACAAAAATTTTCTCCGAGGCACCGTTAACGAGTTATCAACGAAAAACGGTGATCAATGAGAGGCGAGCTCGGCTGGCGCGAGGCGATCGAGCCAACGAGCGGAACCGGGCTTCGCGCGCTGGTTGGCTGGGCCGCCTCGCGTCGGCCGTACTCGATTCTTATTGGTCACTGTTTTTCGTTGATAACTCGTTAACGGTGCCTCGCAGAACATTTTCGTAAAGGAAGAAGTTGCTTCGAATGATCCGAGGAACCCGCCATTTCCGGATTGCGAGACACTTTTG